AACAGAAAACCTAATTGATAATGCTACACATAATATTAAGGCTAATTATATAATAAGATATTATTAATTTCTGAATAAAATTAATTTTGTAATGTTTATATTAAGAAATAAAAAATACACAATATTTAATAAAAAGAGTTGGCATATAATTAATATAAATTATAATTATATTATTTGATATCTTAGGGTAATACTGCAATAACAAGTTATTAATGATTAAAGAAATTAGGTATTAAATTATCTGTACAATAATATTTATTTTTGAGCATTCACAAGCCACACAAGAGAAGCACCATCCTATGTTGATCATTTTGAGTTTTTGAAAAGTAAATCTAGTAATATAAGGTCTAACAAAAGGACAGAATTTATAGAATAATATTACCTATTGAGGGTCATCAAACGGTCAGCTTCTTCCACAGCGGCATGCCAAGAAATCATTTCTTTTTTACTTTTCTTTAAAGAAACCTACAAACATTCACTAAATTAATGTTTAAATATTTTGAGATACAATGAAGAGTAGGTTTTAATAACATATGTCAATTATATTTATATAATCAATATACCAATGCCTTATAAGAAAGAAATTCCACTCTGATCATCAAAAATGTTAAAAATATAAATAGACCTAATTAAACTTACATAGGTACATCCCAGGTTGATTTACTGAATGACGAAAAAAAGTATATTTAAACATTAATTAAAATGTAAAGTAGTTACAATTTTTAATAAGACTTACCATACAATCCGGGTGTTTTGAAAGAAAATCTTGTTTAGAACAATATTTTTCTATAGTCTTCACCCAACTTCTTTGGCCATAATAGTTACAAAATCGCACATGCAGAGCAAACATTTTATTTTTCCCTGAAAATCAATAAAAAAAAAAAAAAAGGTTAAATAAGTACATAGTATCTTGTTTATCGTTTTTACGAATTATTTTCCCTGAAATTATATTTGATGGGTTCTCTTTAGCATGTTCAAAGGTCTAATCAAATTATAATTACAATTGGAAAAATTAATTGGTACTAAGCCGAATTGTGGCATAAATCTTCATAACTACTTCTTAAACAATGGGTAAAATGTCTTTATTAATATGAAAAGTCCCCATCAATATCATGTAAGATTTAAAAGTCATACGAGGTCAAAATTCATAAG